TTGAGACTCAAGGGGAGTCCGTAGAGGAGAAGAAGCCGCTCAAGCCGTCGTCTGGAGGATTCATTGACGACCGGCCAAATCCTTGACTCTCCGGTTGCACTCGTGGTAGGAGGGTGCTCCTTGAGGCCATCGTCGACCGGTACTATCTCTTTCTTCTCCGATTTCTCTCATCCAAGGTGAAATCCTATTTCTACCATGGATTCAATTTTGGGTCTCTGTTTCTTTCAATTTCCTACGTAGATGAGTTTGTTTCGCCTTCTAGTGCTAGATCTAGTAGTACATTGCAGCAAGGTTTGAGTAGAAGGTTGAATCAAATTTAGGATGTAATCCGCCAGAGCGCGGAGGCTCTAGGCCTCTACACGGAGGCTCTGGTCCCCGGAGGCTCTGCGCCAGAGTGCGGAGGCTCCGCGGTCTGGAAGGATCAATAGCCTCAGTTTGATTCAAAATTCTACTCCGACCTTGTGTAATGTTGCTGTTATAACTTGGCACTAGTTTCTCATCCTTTCTACGCACTTTTCTTTAGATGGATGGTGATCCAAGTCGGAGAAGGGAGAAAAGATCAAAAGGGAATTATGATCCAGTAGACCGGGAGATCAGAGGTCTTGTGTTTCGAGAGCTGTAGGGTGTCAGTGAGCAGCAAGGGCACAACCATGAGCAGCAAGTCTGTGGCAGAGGCAGCCAAAAAGCTCAACCTAGAAGAGGCAGTGGGCAAGGCAGCAGCAGTGGTGTTGGTCGTGGTAGTGCTGGCCGTGGGGCTGGTGCTGGACATGGAGGACCTACCGATGATGGAGGAAGAGAAGGGAAGACCATACCTACAGTCGGAGCGCCAGATAGACCTCCTCGATTCTTAGAATTTGATTAGTCCTACATGGTTCAGCATCAGGGTGCTCCAGTGAGGAGAGAACCAGTGATCTATGATCATAGAGTCCAAAGGCAGCATAGTAACTATCACAATTTGGGAGTGCAAGTCAATAGAGCTAGGGCAGAAAATCCCTATGTGTGGCTGAATGACAGAGGGATAGACTACAGGTTTTGTTCTATATTTTAGTTTGAGTTCTACAAGACTGTGATTCTTGCCAAAGAAAAGAAGATAGTGCAGATGAAGTACATTGACTGGGATCACATTGAGAGCATGAACACCCTAGATTCCAAGAGAGTGATAGATACAGTGACTGAGCATGAGCTGAAGGACATCATGGGTTTCCAATATGATTGGAATCGAGAGATCCTAGCTCAGTTTCACGCCACTTTCTTCCATGATGTGGCAAATGAGACCATTCATTGGTTGACGGAAGGAGTTCACTACAAGGTAGATTTCACTACTTTTGCTCGTCTTCTAGGGTTTGGGAGTGGAGATAGATATGCAGACACCATTCAGATAGAGAATGTCATGAAAGGTGAGGATATTGTATTTGCATATGAGAGGAGAGGTCTAGCTGATGGGAAAACAGTAGGGCTGAAGTATTTCTACTATGCCATGAACAACCTTTTTAGAGAGACAATCAACCCAAAAGGTGGTGACTCAACTTTCACTGAGGAAGTATGCAAAGAACTTGCTTGCAAGGATGGCTCCAGGGAGTGATACTTTCTCTGTTAGTAGGTTTATTTGGGCTGAGTTGAGTGACTCATTAGATGATGCTAGGAATGATCTCCCGTATGCTCCTTACATCATGTATATCATTGAGAGGGTGTCCAGCATTGAGTTTAAGAAGGATGTGGAGCACAGGCCATACAGGTTGACACAGTGGTAGTACACAGGCTGGGAGGCACTGGTTGGGGCTGCTGGCACGTCAGCTGCAGCAGGGGTTGCACCCTTAGAGAGACCTAGCAGCAGTAGGCCTTCCTCTTCCCACCACAGATCCAGGGGGAGCAAGCTCAAGGAGTTGCTCAAGAACATATTTTGCATGTGTCAATATGCTGTGGATGCCGCTTATGAGGGAAGGAAGGACATCAATGACATGAAGAGGTAGCTGGGACTTGAGGTTAGAGAGATTCCGCCGCCGCCAGTGTTTCCACCTTATGAGGACAGTAGTGAGGATGATGAAGAGATGGAGTATCCTCATGATCAGGAGACGCTTGGTGAGAGGATGAACATCCTCAGACGTGAGAGAGGACAGTCTAGGCCACAGAGGCATGCAGCTACTACACATAGAGTCGGCAGGGCTATTGTGAGTGACAATGATGAGGAGTCCGGTGAGAGGACTGTTTCAGGCAGCAGGCAGTAGACCGACCCGGTAGATGATGATGACAGTGACATTGGCAGTGACTGGAGTAGGGAGCAGTGAGATGACCGTGCTTTACCTCCGTAAGGGACCTATGCAAAACTCTAACTCTAAACTATGGCCTCTTTTTCTATCCTTAGCAAAAACATATGCAAAAGATAAACTATCTAAATGTGCAACAATGTTTTGCTAGTGTGTTGCTATCTCTACCGCAAAAAGGAGTTATGCAACCTAGGTTCCAAACCTATCAACTAGCTTATAACTAAGCTAGGAAAGTAAAGCACAAACCAAGATTGCAATGTAAATGCGGAAGCTAAAGAGTAGGGCAGAGATATGAAAACTCCCGTCGACGACTCTGGTATTTTTACCGAGCTATCTAGAAGCGTGCAAGTTTCCCCCTAGTCCTCGTTGAAGCCCCTCGCAAGGAATCTCTCGCAAGAGCTAAGCTCCTAGTCGTGTAACTCCGTGGATAGCCTCGGGCCTTCTCCACGCTCAAGTAGGTCTCCGGTGTGCCTTCTGGCTAGCCTCTCCCGGACCGCTCCCCACCATCTTCACTATCAAGCTTCCGGCCGAACCGTCGTAGGCCTTGTTCCCTTCGATACACGGTGACGGCCACACCACAAACGCGGTTGGTGTGATCTCGCAAGACTACAAGCCCCTCCGATGTACAACAATGGTGCTCGCAAGCACCGAGTGGTAAGAGGTGTGCAAACCTCACTAAACACTAGGCCTAAACTTAGAGCAAGCGCATAAGCGTCCGGTCCTCATAGATCCACGTTCGGTCACCTCTGCCGAGCTCGTTTCTTCGTGATCTTGCGTCCGGCTTGGTTCCCATCTTCGTGCTTGGACTTTCCTTGATATCTTGGGTCTTCTCTTGTGCTTCTAGGGTCTTACTTATGGTGTTGATCGTGGGATCATCAAGTCGCCTTCGTCCAAGTCACGTCTTGCACCCTATTGAACTACAAAACAATTACTTGTAAATTCATTAGTCCAATTTGGTTGTGTTGGTCATCAAACACCAAAATCTAAAGTAAATGGGCCTAGGGTCCATTTTCCTTACAACCTCTCTTGTTCTTTCCCTTTTTGCCATATGTTGACAAAGGGGGAGAGAGGCAAGATTGAGATGTTTCTTTTGTGTCGTCGTTGTCTTGTCGTCATCTTTTCGTCATGGTGGCAGTAGTAGTAGTGTGAGTTGTGAGAGTCGAGTTTTTTTTCGAACTCTCTTTCTTAGTGATCTGTAATAATACTTTGATTCGCCTTTGTGTGGCGATTGGTGGTCATGGACATGGATATGTGAATTTTTATGTGAAATGAAATGCTAGAACTATGGTAAAACTTCTTTATATTCATAAGTTACTAGCATTTCATAACTGTGTGATATCTATTCATATATATGTGATGCTTTCTGTTCTGATTAGAAGATTCTAAGTGTGCAGAATGCGGAGGCTCCGCTCTTTGGCCCGGAGGCTCCACAGTCTGTAGATCCAGGATATTTTGTTTTGTGCGTAAACTGTCATACGCATCACGAATTATTATTTGACACACTTCTTTTGCACCCAACGATGGCATGAATACAATGTATCTTTCACACTTGCTCTTAATATATGCAGAGTATGTCTTGAGGGACATTTTTATAATTTCAAACAATTCTTGCATATATTAAGGGGGAGCCCTTGTATTCTTGCTATAAAAAGCTCAATCTTTCAATTAAATGTAAGTTTTAATTGTGTTGTCAATATTTACCAAAAAGGAGGAGATTGTAAGTGTCATCAAGCTCTAAGTGGGTTTTGGTGATGTTGACCACATAATTAAAGGACTAATAGCTTTGACAAGTGTTTGACAGAATATCTTTAATCGTGGATGCAAAGAAACAAAGAAGGAGATTCCCCAACTTGAATCGATGGCTTGCAACGGCTCGAAGAGCTATGTTAATTCATTTTATATTTTGAAATTGAGTCATAGGACAAGCCGTACTATCAGGGGATACTAATGGTGTGCTGGGTGGAACCAAGTGCTCAAAACTCCATATTCAACTCAAATAATCCTAGCCACAAAAAGCCAGCCGAGCTGAATTCTTATCTGCTCTGGCCTACGCGGAACCTCCGCGCTCAAACGCGGAGGCTCTGAGGTCTGTCTGACCAGACCGTTTTGTGGGTGACGTGGGTGGTATTTATACCATACCCATTCGCCCCAATGGTTATCTTCTTCCTTATTTACTCAGACTCGAACTGAAGCTCTCTCTCTCACCCAAGCTTGGTGCTCCTAACTCTCTTGCTCAAATCTTTGTGATTCCTTGAGGGATTTGGCTCTAGAGAGTGTGAGAAAGCTCGAGAAGATATTTCTCCTCTGTTCTTGTGCACTTGGTGAAGCCCTAATCGTTTGGTGTGTTCGTTACTCTTGGAGCTTGGCTCCTAGACGGCTAGCGGTCGTCCGTAGCTACCGATCCGCTGTGGTTGAGCACCGAGAAGTTTGTATTAGCCTTTGTGACTTAGTGGAACCCTCTAACCCATTGCCTTGGTGATAGGTTGGAGAAGAGGAGAGTTGAAAGAGACTCCATAGCCTTTGTGGGTAACCTTAACAACGTGGATGTAAACAAGCCTTTGTGGCGAGTTGAACCACGGGATAAATCCTTGTGTTCACTGTGATTGCTGTTGTTGTTGCTATTACTTGTGATTTGGATTGATTTTTAGGGTTTGCATCCGATCTACGAATTTCTCATTGGATAGGTCGACATACTCCCAGGAAGGCTGGTATTACATTCGATTTATTTTTCATTCGTTAAATTCCACTGTAGATCGATTTCATACTCTGATCCCCGGAGGTTCCACGCTCAGTCTCGGAACCTCCACGCTCAAAGCCGGAGGTTCCGCGTTCAAGATCTTGGCCACTCGCTAGATCCTTTCGGAACTCCTGCAGCGCCTTCCTGAAGGTCATGTATTCGTCATGGGTGACAACCGAAATAACAGCAGTGATTCTCGTGCCTGGTAAGAAACACGCAGCTTACGCCTCTGCACTAGCTCAAACCCTATAGCAGTAGATATAATTCATTGTTCAGCTAGAGACTTAAGACTACAAACTACTACAGTCATTGAGAAAATCTCTTGCTAAGCGTTATAGCTGTGAGGTCTTGCTCCCGTACATGCTTTGGAGGCAATTGGGTTTGGATATAGACTGATAAGCATCAGCACCATACTCTGAGTGATTTCCAAATTGCTTGGAGTTGAACAGCAGCGTTTGCTGTTGCCTATTGACAGTTGACTTGTCCTTGTATGGCTGACTTGCAGCTTGTTTTTTTGTTGCCATTTGTCTGGGCACTAATAGTGGTAATATATCTGTGGTGCTTTTGGTTACAGGGGGCCTCTTCCCATTGCCAACATCGTTGGAAGGTACATGACGTCCTTTACAAGATCCTCTTTCCAGTAACTGAAGTGAAGATGTCGCCTCATAATCGTAGTTAGAGAGTTGTGCTAGGGTGGAGCCAGACTGCTATCTTGTCAACTTGTGCCAGAACTGGCCCTCCGAGTATGCTGTAGCGCTGTTGTTGTGTATTGTATATGATGGCCTTTCCCCCACCCGTGGGAACCAGAGGTTAGCTCTGCCGCTCGCAGTTGGCACGAGCCCTCAGGCCGCCTCAGGCTGTTGTGTGTTGAGCTTGTGATTACCTTAGGGGGTGAAGCTTATCAGCAGCGATGCTAAGGGGGTGGTTGGGACTGCTACACAAACTCTGCTCCACAAACTCTACCGTAGAGCAACTCCATAAAAAACTGAAGTTTATGGAGCACCTCTTTAGGTGCAATCACAAGTTGTGCTCTCACAACTCCATCATTTTTCCTCGAACATAGTACATAAAGCTAAAATCGTTTGGCTAAAAGACGTAGAGCGGAGCTGAAAAACGTGAAGCGGAGCAGTCCTAAACACCCCCCCTAAATGTCGAATACAATTTGCACCAGAAATTTGGACATGATTGTGTTCTTGTTGCAGACTGCATGCTTTTTTCAGTAAATCTGTGTTGCACGTGGCATTGCCTGTTTGCATACCGCAGCAGCCATAGATTACGCGTCTTTAAATGGTGCCCCTCAACAAAATTTGGGCGTTTCCTTCCATCAGGACTACCAACGTACGGTTCTAACTTTAGCACAATGCAAGAGCAGAGACCACTAATGTAGGTACTTGGTACAGTTGAAACATGCTGATAATTCCTATATATATATATATATATATAAAAAACATGCTGATAATTCCACCAGACCGCATAGCATAGCAACACTATCAACAGATTTCCACTCGAGTTCTAACCACTGAGAAAATATATTGGGAGTTCGACAAGATGTTGGGCATACATACAAATCTGCCAAGAAAAAAAAAAGCAAAAGAGGGTCCCTACATCATACCCTTAGTACAAGCTCATGGATATTATCTATATATACCCACCCCCTAACTCGTGCAAATTAATGATTAGCAAACAGGCGTTAATGTGGTGACCGGAACGATTCAGACGATCTTAGAGGAATTCCTTCACCATCTTCGTCTGTTTGCTGTGAGAACCGCACTAAAGAAGATGTCGGAAGATGGGAGGAGGATGAAGTCGAAAGCCCTACATTGACACATGAAAAAAAATAGTCTCAGAACATGTAACCCACAAAGGAAGGAAGATTGAAAAGTTGGTATGATGAGAAATCCGTAACACCATCAGCCATGTCTTTTGTTTTATGTAGAAAAAAAGTTCCAGAAAGGATCGTAACAAAGCCACACATCTTAGTCACAATTTGTGTAGGATTTTGCCTGTCACAGTCCTGCACACAGATACAAAAATGGAACTAAGTGGTATCATCTGCTGAGTTCTATCTACTCCAGAAGTATTCACAGGCTATGCCTGAAGCTCAGGCTCATAGCATTTCTTATATAGTTTACTTTAATGCAATCCGAGGAAAACTCATAAATTTATATTTGAAATTGGATAGGAACACTGGCTGAATCACTATCTAGTGCCCTGCTCAAATTTCACAACCAAAGCATGAAGCTGAAAAGATAAGCTACAGCAATTGAAACACATACCTTGAACATGATGACACTTGCCAAGATAGTTAAAGATGTGAACATGGTATGATAAATGGGTGACACAAACTACTGTATTAAACGTGTCAAGTGCCTGCGTACAAGGAGGAAAAGAAATCACCATCACCATTTGTTTTAGGAAAACATAATGCTTCATTGGTCAGGCAAGGCTGATGTCATGGTGAATCAATTGAACTTGGCTCTATATAGTGCTAACTAAAGCTTTAACCATCCAATCATATCACCAATTTTACCAGAACATTCACACTTCATTTCCCTAAGGTATCAAATCTATCGGAGTTCCCAACAACTGGGGACTACTAGTCCTGCTGGACTAGAGAATAACAAGATAAATAATAAATGAATGTGTCATATGCCCTTATGCCAATCTCCTCTATTTTTGTCCAGTTAACTTCTAGAATCCTAGTCACCCTTGTATTATGCTGCTATGCTAGATCAAGGAAAGAAGAAAACAACAATTGGTTCAGATAGTAGAAATCAAAATACCCTTTTTAGCAAAAACAGCAGAGGTTTCAAAAATCAGAATACAGGCAAGGAGAAAAGAAGAAAATAACTGTACAATGTCTATACAGGAAAGGAATTCCAGAAGATAAGATTATACAAAGGAATTAATCCAAAACACAGGGAATACTTTAATTTCGCTTTAAAAAAAATCAGAATACCTTGTTCAAGTAATTCATTTGGGTAATGATACATGAGATGACAACCAGAGTAAAAGCCCATGTCTGTGGGTATATAAGCTGGTTCGTTCCTTAAAAGGTCAGCTTCAATGCTATGCCGAGAGCTTTCACGCTCATGACCTGCATAGTTAGGCCAACGACTTTGTAATAAAGCACACAACAGGAGATCATAAACGCATGCTATATCAGAAGAACGCATACCGAGATGGAACCAACAAGAGAGCAAACACCTATGTAGACCATGACATGTGTCTGCCCATAAAGTGGGACAAACCGATAAACAAGTATGGCAGCTATAGCAATTACCACTGCTGCATAACACATGAAGGCTGAAAAACAACATCAAGTGATCATGACTTGGTGGTGTGGTGTAATTATTCAAGAAAAAAGTAGGCAATTAAGCAGATACAAAGCAATGGGCAATAGCAAATACCTGGTTCCGTAGCCAGATCCCACACTTCTGTCACCGACTCAATTTCACGCTCTGGTGGAGCATGAAGGACTATTGTGGTGGATCCCACAGCACATAGGACACATCCAAGAATTCTGAATATGTGCAGCTTCTCCCGCAGCATTACATGTGCAAGCACAGCGCTGTAGAACAGAAGATAGCTCCAGATTAGTGATAAAATGAAAGGTTGCAGTAAGGCAATGCATATAGTTCTATGACTGAGAACTCATGCCTGATAATAATGATAAGAGCACCAAGAGGAGTGACCAAAATAGCCGGAGCAAATGCATAGGCTGCGAAATTTGCAACTTCTCCAACAATCACTGCAAAAGAATTTCCCAAAAGAGACAGTATGTCAATAAGCTATCTATCTATTAGAATGAAACAGAAGAAAAAGAAGAGGCAAGCGCTTACTTGTTATCATGCCAACCCACCAAAGAGGCTCATATAAATAAGAATAACCACCAACCCCTGTCATAACATGGAACATTCATACTGCAGTTTGCTAGTATAAGTGACATAGACAGACACCACAGGGAAAGAGTACAAAATGAGGCTGAAAATTGCGATACAAACTCCTGTAGGAGGAGGAGGAGGGGGGTTGGAGATACAAAATGACATAAGTCTTCTCGATTTTGGGCATAAGTCAGGTGTCATTACGTGAGTATCAGACACTGAAACCTTTAAGTCAGATCACACGTTACTTACCTGCAATGCAATGCAACACTTACTTAACCAACAAAGTAGTTTGCTTGGGAAAGGTGTCACATTTTGGTGTAGCACAAATTCAGTAAGCCAGGCCTGGTGCAGTGGTGAGAGCTGTCTCACTGAGTCACCAGGTCGTGGGTTCGAAGCAGCCTCTCCGCAGATTTTGCGGGGGAAAGGCATGTCTCGGTTTATCCCTTCCCCAGACCCCACTCATGTGGGAGCCTCCGGCACTGGGTCCGCCCCTCCCCCCTCCCCCCTCTAGTCAGTTAATCACTGAAGCAGTTGAACTCCAACTGCAGCTGTTACATAAACATATAACAGATGGTGTGATTCACCTTCATTTCTGGTGGATCAGAAATAACAGATGGTCCACTGTAAGAGGTAGGAGTACACAATAACACAAGAATAAATAACTAGCCAATGGTCTCATCGAGTGAGTAATATAGTATACAGCAATACCATCTGCACGGCACAAAGAAATAGAAATGAGGCTGTTTTCTGTCACATATAGACAGTTGTAACACTTGTCCAAGCACACAACACCCTACTACCATATGCTCAGGGGGCTAGCATCATGAGAGTATAAGCACCAGTAGGGGGGAAAATAAAACCCAGCAGATTACAACATGCTGCCACGTCGCAAGGCCACCTTGTTGATTCAGTCAGATCAGAGCTTACTAGATGCTACACCAAGATACTTGGAGTAGCGAGCTTGAGCGATGATTTTTCCAGATTTCTTCTTCAGTTCCACAACGGCCACCCCTACTGCCTTGCCAGCGCGCAGAACCTTCGCTTCGATATCAATCTCTTCCTGCACGAAACCAAGCATCTCATGCCTGTCAGTGTCAGCATCAGTCCCTAAATCCAAAAACACCATCGTCCATAACAAATCAACTTCCGAAGTGAAGACCGATTATTTACTTAATTAATAGTCTGGCTTGCTCATCGTCCACGTACACGATGTCGTATGCAGGTCCTGATACCGCTGAGCTTGTGGCTACCAAGGCGAAGGGACTACCTCGCATCACTATCTCTCTCGATAGAGTTGCTGCATCTGCGCTTAAAGATGTCATTGCTGATTTCTCCCTTGCGCTCTATGAATGTTACAAGACCAAGCAGGAACATGCATCCAGAGGTGGTTCTTTTGGCTTGTTGCTTATTCTTCTTTATTCCTAATTGTTTCCTTTTCAATATCTTCATTCTTAACCGCAAAGAGGAAATTTTAATTTATTTATCACCTTTGTGCCAAATTCTGTTTTCCTTCTTTTGCAGAACAAGACCAAGTGTCACAGCTCATGCAAAGTCTAGCCTCTGAAAGAGTAGGTTATCCACCATTACCTGCTATATATATTAGTACGAACTTGGTACTGGTGCTCTTGCTTATGCTGCTGCTTGATGAATAAAGTTGGGTACACAGTGTCTTAAGATAGCTTACTCATTTGACATACATATTTGCCTGTCAGAATGTCAAGCAATTTTGCAGTCTACTCTGGGTTGCCATAGAATGTTAAAGCAGTTTTTGGCAGCCTAAAAACTAGCGCATGGCTGTTTATAATGTATATAAATGCTTATATTCAGTGCTCCATTCTTTTCGTAAAATGCTTCTGAGTCATGAAATTAAGTTCCAACACGTTGGTTTCATGTGTTAGCCTAACGTTATAACATAGTATTAGATATCATTTCCTTTTTCTCACTTTTGAGAGAACCATTGGGTTTCATTGTGAATCTAATACAGCAAAACACTTCATTACTATGCAGTTTTCTGGGTTCAATATTTGGGTATTTAGAATGCATTACGGTGATGTTTGTAGCCCCTGGATGCATTTGTTGTTGTATTTTACAGGAAAAAAACGAAGTAATGCAAAAGCAACTTGAAGCCCTTTCATTCCTCGACAAAAGAAAGGCTACAAAGCCAAAGCTGGTGACTGATCAGGTTCCAAGTGTATCGAGTGCACCTCCAAGCTCCGATCAAATTATTGTTCCTGTGCAGAAACAAACACCAGGTTACATGGCTTCTTCTTCTTCTTCTTTTTTTGTATTGTAAACTACATGGCTTCTTCTTGATGCATACTTGCAAGTAAGAAAGAATCAAAACTGTGTCAGCTTACGGATTTGCAAACCTGCAGTGGCTTTTCCTAGCAAAGTTCCTCCTGCAAAAGCTATGAAGCGATTGGCCCCTGTGTCTCGGAGGTTGTACACAACCATTGAAAGACTACTTTATGTGAGTTGAAGTTAAATTCATATCTGATATCCTGCTGGTACTGATGTTTTCTGTTATTCTTTTATTAGGGCAAGAGTACAAGGAGCTTTGTTGCAAGATACTGAAGAAAATGATGATGATAGTAGTTAGATATTGCTGATTTATCGGCATTGATTGACTCTTTGGCATGTAAACCTATTACATTTAGGTGAGACTTAGTTTTGTGAGATGGTTTGGACATGTGCAACGGAGACCTCCAGAGGCACCGGTGCGTAGTGGAATCCTAAGCCAGGATAGTAACGTGAAGAAAGGCAGAGGAAGACCGAAGTTGACTTGGGTAGAGGTAATAAAAGGAGACTTGAAAGGATGGAATATACCAAAGACTTAGCCTTAGATAGGAGTGCTTGGAAGACAGCTATTCACGTGCCTGAACCTTGATTGCTTCTGATGGGTTTCAACTCTAGCATACCCCAACTTGTTTGGGACTTAAAGGCTTTGTTGTTGTTGTTAGTTTTGTGGCTGCTTGACTTATGTCAAACTTGTGGAATTAAAGTACATGCAGCTCATGGTGTAGAAAAGGTATGAGACTAAGTTCCTAAAAGAAAGGATTGTTTTTGTAGCATATTGTGTTTTTGTACCATATTGTGTCTTTGAAACTTGTCTGTTTGCTCTGGATGAGCTTAGGGTGCTTATCAATATGCATCTATAACTGTTTTAGTAAAGTTATCTTCTATTTTTTTAATTGAAATCGTGTATTGTTGATGATGAACTTTATTAAAAAATAGCATACATAACTTATTTACATAACACTCTTTACGTAACCTGCAGCATGAACAAGTTGAGCAGCCGTTTTGCCATGTTAGCAACTTGGTACAGCTATGAACGGAATGTAACTTTGAACTATGTACAAATGAAGGTCGTGTACAAGCACCCCTCCCTATTGATTGATCCCCAGCCTCAAGTTTCCTACATGCAGAAGTGTCCACTGGCTGCCAGTTTTGCCTTGAATTGAAGAGTGGATTGTAGCTCATTGATTTCCTGCAACTTTGTGTTTCGTCCTGCACTTGCATGAATTGAAGAGTGGATTGCAGCTTATTGATTTCCTGTAAGTTTGTGTTTCGCCTTGTACTTGCTTGAATTGAAGAATGGATAGCAGCTCATTGGTTTCCTGCAAATTTGTATATCAGCTGCTTATATGCTTATAAAGATGAAAAATATGTGTTTCCCTTTTTTTACTTGCAGGTATGGCATTCCCCCGGTGGTGTTATTATGCATGCATTGTTTCTGATGGAATGACCAGATGGTTACACAAGAATATGGTGGCCATGATTTTAGTTAGATAAGAATAGAAGGTGAGAGAATGCAGCTTAATTCAACCCTGGAACATACTACTACCTTTTAGTACTGTCGTGGTAGCCATTGCTGTGTGTGTCATTTTCCATAGAACGAGAACGACCATGGTTGGCTGGCGCACTCTTTTTTCGCAGCACAGATACAGTCGTTGAGCTACTGGAGAAGCTCTTGTTCCTCCTCCCAGCACCAGAAGAAGAAGAAGCAGCTGCTCTGGATGGCGAGGGCATGAAGAAGCTCTTGTTCCTCCTCCCACCACCAGAAGAAGCAGCAGCTGCTCTGGATGGCGAGGGCATGAAGAGCTTAATGATGAAGCTGCCTGCTCCCTCCATAGAGATAGAGGGAGTACTCTTGTGCCGGCATGGCAAACTCCTTGTGGGTGTGGCCCTAGGAGGAGGAGGAGGAGGAGGAGGAGGAGGCAGTGACAGCTCTGTGATGTCTCGCAGCGACAGTTCATAGGCTTCCTCGGGCAGATTGTCCGCCACTCGAAGCATCATCTCGTGGTGGTACCTGTTGATCACCTCTGCCTCTCCGTCATCCATCCACAGCCGCTTATTAGAGTAGCAGTTGGCGGTCTTGGATTGTTGGATCCAGGATTCGTAGTCGAAGTCGAGTGCGTCCTCATGGGTCTCTGATGAGAATGAGACTGGGCTTGCGAAGGTGAAGGGAGGAGGAGAGGCAGCAGATGTGGAAGCCATAGTGAAATGTATGTTTTGGGTGACTGCTTACAAACTTTACTAGCCTCATGTCTTTACTTATACTCTTGTACGTATGTACTACCTGTTACTCAACGCAGATTGATTGGTTGGTTGGTTGGTTGAGGAGAAGGTGATCGAGTCGTATGGTAACAATGGAAATCCAGCACAGCAGGCCATGGCAATTGCCAAGTATGACCGCCTACTTTCTTTGAATCGGATATACGGAATGGATTAACTTTGTTTGATCAAAGAGCTAAAGTCCTGCTGCTTGCTAGTGGCGGCTCAAATTGCCAGGCATGTACGGCACGGCGAGCAGCCAACTCACTACCAACAGAAAGAACTAACTAAACAAAATCACCATGAAATTGACCATCGCACGCAGTAATATAATTGTGTTACACACACTGGAGGAGGCCGTGAAGCTGCTGGAAGACCTGGTGTCACGCATCGAGCCCGTGTCGCGCTCGCGCAGCCACGCCACAAGCCTCGCCCGGAGCAGCGTGGGGTTCGGTGCCGCGGCGGCGGCGCTGCTGTCCAGGGACCGGGAGAAGGGCGTCAAGGCCCTGCACGACGCCGTGGGTGCGGACACCAGACGGTTTGTCCAGTCGCAGGGGCCTGAGTTCCACTTCTTGGTCGCTCATGTCGTCGAAGCTGTGCAGAAGCAGCATGGCAACGCCGCCGCAAATACAAGGTCGTAGATGCTGTGCAGGAGGAACTAGCAAGTAACTCTTCAGGAGACACTGCTGCATAGCGTAGTGCCACTGGAAGGTGCTAAAGAATTTTGAGATATTAATGAGGCACTAAAAGAATTGTCATATCACTTATAAGAATTATGACTTATTCGATTGCTTCTCTTGAGTATGTATAAGAAAGTGCACATTAGATTATATCTGCTCTTGCAGAAAAGGACAATTTCATTGAAAGCTGCAAACAAATTAGTAATAAGATGAGCTTAATTAGTGGCATGTTTAAGAAAGGATACAACTTGATTCCTGGGTCATATAATTGACTCGTAATAAGCAATAAGCATTCTAACAGGGTATTGCAGTGAACTATGAGCGATGAGGTCCTAGCAGTGATTAAATACCGCTAACGGCGCATTTGTTTGTTCTTGCTGTGGTACCGAGTGTGAACATAAGTTTGAAGCTAACATAAATATTGTTAGCCACTCGATCAAGTGGGAAAATATTGGAATGTGATCTTAGCCAATATATTAAATTGGTAATAATTACTAGTCCACCAAATAATGTCTATTTTATTATATTATATAACCCTTTGCCGTAGTCGGCGCTATCTCTAAGTCTTCTAGGGTTCGGCCCATGGGCCCGCAGCCTCAAGCGTTCTCCTGACGTTTTTCCATCGAGAACCGATCTATCAGGCGCTTAGGGTCTGGAAGACCGTCAACCCAACGTTCCCATTAAATTCTTTACCATCTAGGACCGTCAGGCCCCAATCTGGTGAAGATTAAGAGTCACTTCATCTACCTCAATCTCTACATCAAGTACGGAGACACAGATAGCATCTACAGACTCTCATTAGCATCGAAGTTCTAATTTTCGCATAAGTTTTAGTTAGTGATCAGGTTTAGGGCTTGCTTGGTAGCGCTTATGAAGCGCTTCACAAAGCTGAAAAGCAGCTTCACCAACCAAATGAGCTAGTGACCGTCTGCTTAGGGGTGAAGCCACGTAGGGCTAGCGTGGTGCACCGGCACCACTGTAAAAAAATACTTCCCTATTAGTACTAGCAACTTTTCTCCTCTTGTGCACTCCCTTGGCTCATGAGTGTGCACCAGGGATGCTCGCAGCTCAGTCAGCAAGGCAGTTGTATGCAACGGTTAAAGGCCATAGCCAGTCCATTAACGAGCAATGCACATCCCATCAAGTAAGCCCTTGTTTAGTTGGGTGAATTTGGATTTTGGGGCTACTGTAGTACGTTTATTTTTATTTGGTAAATAGTGTTCAAATATGGACTAATTAGGCTCAAAACGTTCGTCTCGTAATTTCCCACCAAACTGTGCAATTAGTTTTTATTTTCGTCTACATTTAATACTCCATGCACGGGCCGCAAACATTCGATGTGACAGGTACTGTAGCAACTTTTTGAACTTTGGGGTCCAACTAAACACGGCGTAAGACTTGAGTCTACCAGCAACCATTAATGGTAGTGGCCCTCTGTGTGGAGTACTCATACTGATCCGTACAGTACATATGCAAATGTTTGTTCTTACAGGCAAGCTGCCTCGCAGCCGACCCCACCAAGGCCGTACCACAATGACCCTTCTCTGCTTCCTTGCTTTTCTATCTCATTTCTACTCATGTTTTGCCATGACAAGATCGCTGATCGTCTTAGGGTACATTCTTGATTAGTTATATAATAATGTTTTAGTGTAAATGGTCTTGTGGTTATTGAAAAAATTGGTAAAATCTTTATTTTGAATTAATTTGACCAAAATTTCATCGACATTAGGAGAATATAAAAAAAAACCAATTTTTTCAATAACCACGAGACCATTTGTACTAAAGCATTATTATTAATTTGACTAAAATTTCATGACTTTTTTTATTTTGTATGATATTAGGGGAAAATCCAAAATTGGACATGAAAACAAGAAAAAGGTTGTACATTTTTCAAATTATATGAGAAAATTTGTGTTAAAATGGTGCACTAGGGTGCACGGAGGTCTAGCTTCGCCCCTGCGTCTGCTTGCCCCATGAAGCTCCGGTTTTTTTCGCTGAGCGAAGAGGAGAGAGAGGAAGAAGCCAAAAATTGTAGCTTGCACCGGCTTCGTCTGAGCAGGTGGGTCCCAACGGGGCCATGGGCAGATTTGTCCCTGCCGACGAGTGGCCGGGTCGCGGGGCCGGTGCCGATGCGGAGGCGGGCGCGGAGGCCGGTGCGGAGGCGGAGAGCTCACGGACGCCGGGGCTTGGCTCAGGGCGGGCCGGCGCGGGTGAGGCTGCCATTGAGCGCGTGGCCGCCGGAGCTCGCCTCGGGCGGGGCCGCGAGCAAGGCCGCCGGTGAGCACGTGCTTGCGGGGCCTCGACTTGGGGTGGGGGCGGGACGCGCGTACGATGGCTGCGCATCGAAGAAGAAGGCTTTGGGGAGAGGAAAGAGAAAGACCTGTTGACTGTCGTTGAGTGTTGTGCGGTGACCGGTCTGGAGAGAGGAAGAAAAAAAAAAGAAAAAAAGGTATTTTAGTTTGCCTTATATTTACCAGGAGAAACTGTTTGGCCAAATAATTTAGAAAAAATAGATTTAGCTTCATTAATAAATCCGTTTTTTATGAAAAAATTATAAAAATAATTTTTAAAAGATTGACTTCTTAATTATGACACTCGGATAAAATAAATCCTGAATATGGATCCGGTGTCAAATATAAAAAGGGGATTCACCGGTAAAGTTGGATGTAGGTATGATTCTGCTATTGCTAAGGTTTTTTTTTTCAACATCCCGGTCTTCCGCGTGGCCAAACGCCGTCGCCTCCGTCATAAAGAACCCCCAGCGGCCAGCAGCCCAGCACACTTGCTCTCTCTCAGCTCTCGCCCTGGACTTCTCCGTCCCAGTTAATTCTATCCCAGTTACAACTGCATTAGTTTCAAAAAAAAAAAAGTTACAACTGCATTCTATTTCTATCCCAGTCGAAGGAAAAGAGGTTCGCTTCGTTGAACCCTACCGAGTGCGAATGGAGCTGCGGCGGCGCGAGCATGAGCGCCTGCCGCCGCAAGTCGGGGCACGCCGAGTGGATCCGTGCGAGAAGCAGGACGTGTCCGAGCGGTCCGCCGTCCCGCTCGAGGTGCTCGCCGTGAAGGAGGAGAAGAGTGGTGGTGAGTTGAGACTCGCTGTGGTGGACGGTGTTGTGAACATCGACTCTGACTCCGACTCAGACTCCGACAGCGACTACGAGTGCGATGGTCAGGCTCCTCCACCCAGACTCCTTTTTTTCGAGTAGCCGCTATCGCTAGATCGTCTCGTCTTGTGTGGTTAGTTTAAGTTTAGGCATGGTGCCATCTTGTCTTGTGACTTGTGAGGACGAATTTTATTCCCCATGGTTTTCGTGCTGCTGTAGATGGTTGCTTGATCTTTTGGTACACTATAATCTAATAAATAATAACAAGGTGCATGTACAAGCATTATAATTTGGAGACACATACTTGTGCAGTTGTGCTTAAGCAAAATGCATCCTTTTCATGAAATTGAAGAAAATTTGGAGACACATTCTTGTGCCTAAGCAAAATGCATCCTTTTAATGAGATTGAAGAAAAATGTCTTGGTGGGCGTGATCAACTGTTAATCGTCTCACGACTATCTTGTTGTAGTATTCAATTTTTCTATTGAATAATTCCCGTTTTGTCTTTCAGTGCGTATCATTGCCATCCAAGTTCAGTGTCTTTCGTGTAAAACTGATTAATATGCCTGTTCTTGTTCCATCTATCAAATGAGTGGATGACATAAGATTTAATGAGCTCGGAAGAGGGAAAAAAGACATCTCTGACAGGTCTAGTAGCTTGGCATCAGTCTTGAGATCAGACTTGACTATTGATCATGAGCCAACCCTAACATAATTATATTGTTCCAGCAGAAGAGGTGTTGGTGTTGGGTAATAAGAGATCTTCAGTGAGAAAAGGTAGCAATCAAGAGAAGCTCACAGGGAAAAAGAGGACTGCTGATATGCTCCATGAAGATTCAGCGGTGGAGGCAGGGGAAGGCGCACAGGAAATAGTAGGCCCGGTAAAATTTGCAATGATTGTTGATTAAATGTTTAGTAACACAACCTTGTTTCACTTGTTTTTTTCTCCGGTAGTAAGACTTTGCTTAGTATATGTGCGATAATTGTTAGCGTCGTACATATACTAACAATTAATGCATGTGCATTCATAATTTTGCTTAACTTTTCAACGTTTATTTTCCTTCCCCTCTTATAAGGAATCTGGCAACAAGAAACCCAGTGGCAAGATTCTGATACGCAGTCAGCCAAAAAAAATATGTGAGGCTGTGACGCTGCTGAATGCGCCTCAGAGGGAGAAGGTGAAGGAACTTGGCTTTGGGTCTTTGCTTGATTTCAGAATGGACGAATGTTGGCCATTGTACCTTGTAGTCTGGCTTATGGATCACCTCTACCTGGACGACCAGGACCCAGATACAATGTTTCTTTATTTTGGGGGCAATAGGAAGCTTTTTATAACCCAGCACACGGTAAATTGTGTTCTGGGGCTGCAGAAGGGAAAATTTGATCCACCATTGATGTTTACAAACACACCCAAACTCAATGGCCTTCCATTATTAAGAAACAAATTAGGGCTACCAGCAAGCAAAAAAATTGAGGTTGGTGATCTTTTAAAGAAAATACAGTCTGGCGGCACTGACAGGTTTACAATGCAGTGTTTCATGATGATTGTATTTTGTAAATTAATGGCTTGTAGCTCCAGTAAGTACATCACAGAAAGTGCATGGAACATGGTTAATAAAGACTTCGACAAGTTTGGTCACATGAATTGGTGCAAATTCATTGTCGACCAACTAAAGTATTCTGCAAATATGTGGAAGGGTAAAAAGAAGATAGTATATGGGTGCCCTGCGTTTCTTTTGGTGAGCATCTTCTGTTAGTTATGTATTTTTTGCTGCAGTAAAGATGATGTGCATCCACAGGGTTTACCTGTAATGTATGTTAACATTGTACTACATGTTTATCTATTCTATTTTTGTTTCCTGCAGATGTATTACCTCGACAACTTAGATTGCGAACAGAAAATGAGATGTGTAGAGGTCCCACGCGCCAAATTATTTGGCAAGGAAATGATCCAGAAGTTGGTGAAGGCTGACAAGCAGGAGAAGGATGGCTTGACAACATTTGGGAACCTAAACGTGAGTATATTCAGTAGTAATGTAGTATATATTACTTCAACAGTAACTCCGAGGTTTTCAAATTGTACATGCATAGTAATGTAGTATACCTTTTTGTTCATTCATATTTATGTTGTGCAGCTAAGAAACCAAAGGGATACCTGCTATGATGAGAGGGCAGAATTAAGCAGACATGTGACAACATACATGCCTATATCTGGCACCAGTGACACTGATATTGTTGGTACCTTCCGTAGCCCGCATAACCAGATCCAGATTGGTGATTTATCTTCTCACCAGAGTTTGTGTCCACCGAATAAAAGTAATGCCAAGCAGCAGCATCGGCAGCTTGACATCAGACAGATAGAGGAACCAGAAGGGAGAAGGGAAGAAAATGGGGATGGCCTGATTGGTTATGATAAGCAGAAAACTACGGTGTGTAATTCAAGTGAGTTGTTTGTGCACCATCAAACTGATGGTGACATTGCCATGGCTACTCAGGGGACAACACCTTCGCTGGAGGCATCAGCCGAGTTCCATGGTGATCCAAAGGTATCTGCTGTACCCCAAGGTAAACATGAAGTGACTGGGGTTTCTGAAGACGGTAAGCTATTTTTTGACGTGTGCTATTGGTTTACATGATTTTTTTTCCTTGTCTTTTCCGTGAATTAACAGGATGTATCAACATATGTTACTATTACAGCAGAGGATGTCCAAGGTGTATCAGAGGATGTCGTGCAGCTGCCAGCACTTCCATGAAGGAGCAAGTGAACGATTTCATGGTAGGATCCTCGGAGCCAGAGATCCTACAGAAGCTAGACTCTCTCCTTCCACAGGCATGGCCTTCCAAAAGATTCTTCTTACCTGTCTAGCTTAAAAGATACCTGTGCATAAGTTAATAGCTCTTCATGTGCTGATCCCACAATTAACAGATTCGGGCATCAGTCGCTTTGGGTGTCCGGACCTCAGACCTGGAGCAGCAGGTACAGGAGCTTACCAAGAAGCTAAGTAACAAGGAAGAGGAGCTTGAGGCAACCAGAGAAATGCTGAGGGGAGCCCAATCCACCATTGCCGACAACGAGGAGGTGCTTGAGGCAACTGGAGCCAAGCTGAGGACGGCGCAGGTGTTCCAGCTAGAGGCGCAGTCTGCAGTCGCCGCCATCAACTGCCTCGCCCTGCGCTTGAGTGCCACGTTTGTCAGGTTGGGTTCGGATCCTCCATCCAGCATGGTTAGCAGCAGCTCTTTGGAGGAGGCCGTGAAGCTGCTGGAAGACCTGGTGTCGCGCATCGAGCCCGTGTCGCGCAGCCACGCCACGAGCCTCGCCCGGAGCAGCGTGGGGTATGGTGCCGCGGCGCTGCTGTCCAGGGGCCGGGAGAAGGGCGTCAAGGCCCTGCACGACGCCGTGGGTGCGGACACGAGACGGTTTGTCCAGTCGCAGGGGCCTGAGTTCCACTCCTTGGTCGCTCAGGTCGTCGATGCTGTGCAGAAGCAGCATGCCAGCATGGCAATATAAGGTCGTAGATGCTGTGCAGCAGCAGGAACTAACAAAGTAGTAACTCCTCAGGAGACACTGCTGCATAGTGTATTCTGTCCTGATAAGAGTAGTGTGATGGTAATGGTATCCACCAGACAATATATACCCTGGTCGGATGGCATGAAACGGCTTGCTGGGCTGGATGTGCTTGGCTTATCAGCCCAGCCGTTCGGCAGCCCAGCCCTAGCCGAACGGCTGGACAAAAAGCGACGCCAGGCATTGCGTGTCACTCCCTCCCTCCTCTTTCCTCCTTCGCTTTGCGCGGCTAGGGTTCCGTCGCAGTCTCGCCGCTCGTCCGCGTCTCTGCGCTCGAGTCTCGGCGGTCGTGACCGCCGCGTCGCCGAGCCCCGTCGTTGGTTAGCGGATCAGTCCCCGCCTGCCACTGTACGCCGTGATGCTGAGTCTCGCCGTCGACAGCCTCGGTGACATTGAGCTCCGCCTCCCTTCCCAAACCCCGCCTTCATCGACACCGACTGCCTCCAGCAAGGTAACCCTGGATCCCATGCTGCCGCAGTCTCACCCGGCCGGATCTGAGCCCCACGGCCTCGTCTTGTAGGTTTCCCCCGCGCCCCACCCCCCATCACCGCCACGATCTGGTCGACGACAGCTTCTTCCAGGTGTTTCTGATCCGCCCACTGAGAAGGTTCGTATTTCAGATTTATGTTGAACATAACTTTGTTGATCATACATAACTTATTGTTGACGTGTTCCGTCCTGTGTTGCCTTCGAATTGTGCAGGATGACGAAGCTGGTGCAGTCCTAAATTGGTGATCAGTGTTGTAGTACGTTCTTATACAATTCCAAACAAGACAAGACTCTGTTAATTGGTGTTATAGGTTCAGCTCGACCTGCAGAAGGTTAGTAATTCATGCGTCATTTAGTAAACTACTTATTGCCAGTTTGTGTTCTTGGATCCCGAGAACACGGTTGTCTTGTATACATGCATCACAAGAGCTCGATAGTAAATATCCTGCATTGTACGATGCTAGTTGGTTTTGCAATCATCTTTCATATTGTAATAGTCTGGCCTCTTGTCCTCCCTGTGCTTAAGAAAGGGCGCTGTTTCCTTTGATTTGAGCTATCTTTGAAATATGCTACCATTAGTGGTGAGTTTGGCTTACTCTCCTCTCTAATGTTATATTTGTTTTAACTTAGCTGTTGTAATTGCTTTCTTGAGTTTGTACCCCATTTGTATTTTGATAACGTCCTATTTCTATGTGTATATCTATTGGCGGCTACAAGTTTGAGTTCATATGTCCTTGTTGCCTAATTTACAAATAATAATCTTATATGGTTTATAATGTTCATATGCACAACTTGGTAGACGGTTTTAAGAGTACTATCGCCTGCCGGTTTAGCGTCCATATATTAGTCTCTGAACTGTTATAAACTAGCCAACTTGCCGTAAGAAAATGTTATGACCCCTCTGCACTCTATATAACAGCTTTGTAGTGTATATATATCCTGCTGCTGGTAAGCTGGTTGCAATCGTAGTGTCTATTTTCATGTTGCGGCATTTCTTGCCTTCTTCTATGAGCACCTTAAAGTGAGTCTTCCTCCTGTCCTGCAGGTCACTCTACATGCTTCTCTGATAAAAAACAACTACGTATACTTGACAAATAGAGAAGCCAAAATACGATTCAAAATTGCCTGGAAACCATATGACATCACCTCATGATCATAATGCCGCCCATGATCATAATGCTGGAGCACTTGAAAGATGCCTAAAAAAATCTGGAAGCCTAGGAGGCACAAGATGCCTAAACAACTTTGGGAGCACTTGAAAGATGTCTGAATTATGAATTTGTGCGCTCAGTCGAATCATCCACTGGAACAAAGAGTTCGAACTGATCCACGGGCCACGGGCCACGGCTGAAGGCGAAGTACGTAGTTTAATTCACACAGAATCACACTTGTATCCTGTATTCCCATGGAGTCAAAAAAAAAAAATCACGACATGATCCAGGTTGTATTTGGGGAACTGAAATTAAACCACAGATGACTACGGTTTGTCTGCTGTATCTGTTCATTTTCATTTCAGTGGATGGGGAAGATGAACACAGCTGGAGCAGTGGATCCAAACAAAGATTGCCGACCCAGCTCCAAGATTTCGCGGCAAGCGGTGCCTACATACCCTGACGGGTGACGGGCGCGCAAGCATGCCGATAAGCTAGCGCACGTCACTCACTCTCTCTCACCGGACTCCCTTTGAAAGCCGATTCTTGCCCACACCTGCTCCTACACACCTTCCACAGTCTGTACATACACCACTTGCCCGAGAGCTCAGGGTGCCAAGCCTACGCAAGTGCAGACGATGGCCGAGCACCACCTCCCGCCGGAGCACGCCGACCACCACCACCACAACAAAGGCGGGAGGAAGGGGTCCACGCCGACGACCTCAAGCCCGGCTCGCGCGGCCGCCCACGGTACAGCTACTACTACGGTGGATACGGGGACGGGGGCGGCGGCGCGGTGCGCGCCCTCTGCTTCACCGTCCTCGTCCTCCTCCTCGCCGCGGGGATCACGCTGCTGGTGCTCTACGTCGTGTACCGCCCGTCCCACCCCACCTTCGCCGTCACCTCGGCCGCCGTGCTGGCGCTGTACAACGCCACCGCCAGCAACGCCGCCGGCGCGGGCGCGGCGCCCACCGCGCTGGCCGCGTCGTTCCAGTTCACGCTGGTCCTCGGCAACCCGAGCGGGCGGTGCGCGGCGCGGTACGACCGGCTGGCGGCCTACGTGTCGTACCGCGGGGAGGCCCTGACGGCGCCCACGCCCATGCCCCCGCTGGCCCAGGACGCCGGCACCGCCGTGGAGGCGGCGCCCGTGCTCGGGGCTGGCGTCGCGGGGCCGCCGGTGCCCGTGTCTCCCGGCGCTGCGGCGGCGCTGGCGACGGACGTGGCCGACTCGGTGCTGCCGCTCCGGGTGGTGCTGCTCGGCCGCGTCCGCTTCGTGAACGGGCCGTTCCACAGGGGGTGGCACTCGCTCTACGCCCGCTGCGACCTCCTCCTCAGCGTCCGCAAGATCGGGAACGGCGCCAGCGGTGGTGTGCCCCAGGCGCCGATTCTTGGCGACCCCAACTGCAACGTCGACATGTGAATATGTGATCGGCCGGTCATCTCTATAATCAAGGGATCACCACCTCCTCATCTCGTGTCCTCTGGACGTTTAAGAGCATAATATACTAAAGCAAATCTACGTGCAGATGCGTGAATGTCCGTCGCTGCGTATGTGATCTGTATATGCAAAAACAAAATTACATGTACGCGCCAGAAACAAAAACAAATAACGAGTTGTAATGTAATGTTTGATAGCAGTGGTGCTTTGTTGGTCGTGAATAACAGCAATGGTATTCAGCTATGTCCGCAGCTTGAGCGGCACTTGCAGGCCTGCAGCTACTTCCTACGACGGTGGACACTGCCGAGGTTGCCAAGAGCAGTCGGTGGTTTTTTTTTTTTTGAGCTTTTCCTCCCCCTTCGGTGCTTGCTTGATGCTCATGTATTCATCTAAATCTACATATGTTTGAAGTGTATTTGAGTAGAATTGAACTAAATTCTATTCCATTTCAATCTAAGACATGTGGACTGAGCTATTCAGTTCCACTCCAAGACAAACATCCACCTCTCGAATCTGCGATTGTCTCCGAGCCGTGCCGGCCCACGGAAGGAATAAACAGCGGCAGGTTCGCGGCCCGCGATGGAATCCTGTTCAGGCTGACCGATGGCCTAACCCGGCCGCCCATGAAAGAAAATATAAAGGCCCAGCAAACTATCGCCCAAGGCCACTCTGCAGCCTGACCACTTTTTTTTAAAAAAAAAAGATTATTAGCAAGAGCAATGACATATATATATTAGGGGCTCTTGCATTTTTACCCTTGCTTTGTATCGAAATTATGATTTTACCCCTGTTTTTTTTTTACTCTGTGAATTTACCCCTTTGTTTTTGAAACGAAACACACTTTGCCCCTATTCCGTCATCCTCCCCTAATGGTGTTATATTTTATACAAAAGGACAGAAATGCCCATGTGATTTTGCCCCTATTTGTTATGCCTATTTGTGATTTTGCCCCTGATTTGGGAATTAGACATTTATATTTGATCAAATATATTTAGCCCAACTTACAACTATTTCAATTCAGATTTAATATCAAAAAAAATATTCAAAATTTTGGCGATTTTAGCAATTTTGATAGCATTATGACTAGGCTCAGGCGTTTTCTAACCGAAATTTTGGATCAAATTTTTGAAATATTCTAACTGACCTCATAGACAACATATCGACACAATTTGTATTCTCATCGAACAAAATAGAGAGGAGATCGAGTCTTGTATATACATTATTGAGCACACAAGTGAGGAAATCAGTATTCGAGTCTCATACTACATGGATGCGAGATTCCAAGCTACTGGCGACTCCGTTTGTCTTGAAGCTGCTCGCCGCCGCTTCCATTTCCATGCTTCTTTGCCTCTTCCTTTAGGACCGGGCGGACGCAGGAATCCATGAAGCTTGCCGAATCGCCGCCGCTTGTCCCTCGCCGCATACGCAGCCTTGTACTGCAATGGTGTTGCTTAAAGGCCGGCATGGCGGCAAATGATCTGCGGCAAGCCGACCCCTCTTGCTTTGCTCTGCTGCGCGCCGCTACTCACGCTAGTGTGGCTGTGGGCGGGCGATGCGTGACGTGCGGTCTTTACCGAGCTCATGGAGGTAACCGCCGCTATCTGCGACGCCGAGACCATGGGTATGGCCGCTGGAAGGAAGCCCGCGCTCGGCCGATCGAATCCATTAGAGGCAGCCCCTTGGTTTCTTCCGCCACTGCCGCCGATGGAAGCCCGCGACCGGATGTAGCCGCGTACGAGACTTGGGATGAGGCGACCCGTGCTTCTGTTTGGGATGAGGCGATAAGGATAGAGGACAGTGTGGTCATTTCGGCTTTGCTTTTTAGATTTATATTTTTTTTAATTCGTTTAATCCATGTCCATCTGACGGACGTCTAAAGCAGGGGCAAACGGACCATTCATTTCAAAATAGCAGGGGTAAAAATACAAAGTTAAAAAAGTAGGAGCAAAATCACAATTAGACTACGGGACAAGGGCAAGAACACAATTTTCCCTATATATTATATTTAAATAGGAAAGCAAATCGGAGTTTATATTCAAGATCAATTTATGACAGACGCACTCGATGAATCTATCAGCCTCACAATTTAACATGCAGCACAGAAGGTTATAAACTAGTCACTAGTGGATGCAGCACAGAAGGTTATAAACTACTAGTGGAAGCAGCACGTGCATCTTGAGCACTGCAACTCGCGGTCACGCAATATTACTCTCTCCATTTAAAATAATAATATAATTTTAACACAGTATCAAATTGAAATATCTTGATTTTGACTAATTATATATAAAACATAGGTGTTTGTAATAAAATAAGTATCAGTAAATTTCTAATGAAATATATTTTTATGAAGTGTATCCATTTTGCTATCATAAAAGTTAATATTTTTGTCTATATATTTAATTAAATAGGTGCATTTTCCCTGCTCCCCAAAGTAGTTACTCCCTTCTTTATACTTCAGGTAACCTATCTTATCGGGTACGGCTGGAAAAAATCCATTAGGCCTTGTTTGGATGTATGTATATTTATTTCAATTCATATGTGTTGGAGTAGAATGGAATGAAATTTAATTTAATTTCACTCTAATCCACTTCAACACATATAGATTGACGATTAAACAAACAAAGCCTTAGCAGGAAAGCTAAATAGCGCACCGAACGACTAGATTTTCGGGCTGCATGCGTGCACACGTTTGACTGGAAACATCATGTCGCGTTCCAGAAATTAAAATTCGTATGCATGTATATACTAGAGTATGAGAACATACTCATTCCCAGAAAGTATATAAGAGTATATACGGGGCATATGTATTTATATGCATACTTTTTTGACAAATGAGTATCGGTTCATTCATTATTACGAGTATATTATTTTACTACTAGTATTTTATCTCTCAGCTTGCTTTTGGTCGCCGATGCACCGAATGCTTCGTGGTCGTCGCAGAGATGAACCATGGACCCACGGACCCACGGACGACATAGGCGATGCAGACGTAGCTTACTCGACGAGATGAAATCGATCTGCTACTACCTGGTTCATAAAGAATAAGAAATCACACAAAATTCTATATATGATAAAGAGCCGGAACGGAGATGCATTTATATATTCCAACCGCACAAGCTGGAGAATTATAGGTGCTCGTAATCTGGATATGTTAGAGATGAACTTAGGATTTCTTAACAGTTCCATTTAGGACACCCAATCTGAAAATTGAACTTAGATCTTGGGTAATACCTTCGTTAGTAGAAGGAGAAGCCATTAGCGAAGACCCGTGCCTGCTTGATACAGGCGCTGATGCAGTAATGTCAGTGAAGTCGATCCCATAGTCGTACTCGTCACCTTCATCCACTTGGCTTTCACTGCGCAACTCTGATGGTCAATAGAGACAGCGGCCTTCCCTTTACTCCAGCACTCGGTTAGATGGGGTACTTAGTGTTTGCGTAGCTGACCTCTCTCGGTCCGTTGGGTAACAAGAGGAGGAGAGCCTCTTTTTATGAGCGCTGTGTAATGTGGGGCCGCAAACGGGGTTCTGTTGGGGCGACTCCGCTGTTGTCTGAGATCAACCCAACATTATCTCCCTTTATCGAAAGGAATCCATTCTTCAATAAAAACAATACATCAAGGTAAAGCGTTACGATTGCCTATTAAGTGCAACCGAACTCAGTGACTATAGCATACCATTTAAAATTTTCGAATGAACATTTTTTAGTCTTACGAGGAGACGGTTGCTTTAATGGACCCTTAATTCTAGAATCATAATCGGTGGCCTCACAGATAATATTTTGTCGACACAGAATTTTCGTCTCTGTGATGAGGACACACGCAGCAAGCCGGAAGGGTCCGTTCGATGGAGCAGATCCGCCTAGCTTCAGCGCAAGGGTGGTCAATCCTGCGCAATCCTCCCGAGACGTGCCAGTCAATTTGACCCTGCAATTGACAAGGAGAGAAAACTCATCAGTAATTAAGGGCGGAACATGTCGATGTTGCCAGACAGTCCCGAATGTGCGGCTCTGAGAGCCGATATGAGAGGAGATCGACTAAATAGTCGATCCCAGCATATTCACAAGAATGAATCGGTTAAAACTCATGGGGTTGTATAAGAAGAATCGGTTATCATTTAGGATAAATGTTATTTAAGCAAATATTAATCAATGGCAATAAGATACCAACGGTGATCGGTTTGTACTGAGCCAATGATTATAAGTAACCGAACTCCTTTTATATAAAGAAACAATTCAACACCTTTTAACCATCTAATAAAGATAAATCTAATGAACATGTTAGATCTCATCTATCGCCATGACCAGTGGAGCATGAGTTAGAATCATGCAGGCCATAGAAACAATAATAGACTCGACGACCCTAACTCATTACTAATATCAGTGGGACATGAGGCAAAATCATGCAGGCCGTAATACAATAACAAGATCATGGGGCTAACATATCTTTCAACTTATCTCTACTTCAATGATCTCGTGATGTGAACTGTTCGTGAAAGCATTCGATATCGGCTAAATAGCCGATTCAGGCACAGTGCACAGTTAATGTCATGCCTTCTCAGGAACGGGTCTACCAACTAACGATCCCCACTTCATGGTGCCAACAGTGGGGTGAGAGGCAGAATCCCACAGGCCGTGATGACGAGCCATGGAACGGTTTTCATTAACTAATAGATCTACTCAAGATCGGACATGCCTTAACCGCACGTTATGCACGATTAAGATTGACGCAAAACAGCAGATAAAAACATAACTCATCGTTTAAGATGTAGATTAGATCCGTTTTAGATTAGCAAACGATGAGTTAAACAAGATATAAGGCCGATCTAGATCAATCTCAATCGGGCAGAGTGATATTGCTGTAATTAGATAAACAATGAAAGCAATAAGCAATATCGGTAACTTAATGAATCTACCAAAGACTGTCATACTAAGGTAAAGCCGATAACTTACCTTGATCTAATTCAAGCAGTGGGGTGAGGCAGA